ATTTCGTCAAAATATTATGCTCCGGCATAATAATACGGATTCCAACGTGTAAGGTCGGCATAATCTTTCGGTTTAGACAAAAATTATGCTTAGGGCATGGCCGTGTGTGTATGCGTGGTTTCTCAATCCTCTATGTACAGCGTGAATACATAGTGGAACCGAGCATAACTCAGCATAATTCAGCTTATTTGTTGGCATAATTGTGGCATAATCACATTGGCCGGTGTTTCCACCGAGTCTTGAGATGTTGTAATAAATATATATACACAAGGGAATGGTCTCAAACTGCGGAGAGTGCTCAATGCAAGCGAGGCAGAGCTTTATCACACACAAGCGGAAAAACCGTCAGAGATCAAATTCCATTACACAGTGTTCAAGATGCACAAATTATTCAACAGGAACACTGTGAAGATCGTATATAGCTGCATGCCGAATATGGCCCGACTCATTAAGGCCCACAACAAGAGAGTGTTGCACCCACCAACACCGGACAAGAACTGCAACTGCAGGATCAAGAACTCGTGTCCACTCGAAGGAAAGTGCCAGGCGGACAACGTCATCTACCAGGCCATGGTGTCGGACGACACTCGTAACGCCAAGGTCTATACCGGCATGTCTGCGCCGCCTTTCAAAGCTCGCTACTCCAACCATTTGACTACGCTCAAGCATGACCGCTATGAGAATTCCACCGAGTTGTCAAAGCATGTTTGGTCGATGGAGCGGGACAACAGACAGTACGTCATTGACTGGAAGATCCGCGACAGGGCCACCTCGTTCGATAACACGTCCAAGAGATGTGGCCTCTGCACTACCGAGAAGTATCATATCCTCGAAACCGACGCCCGCACTAGGCTAAACAAGCGAAATGAGATTGTGTCAAAATGCAGGCAAGAAAGCAAGTATGTCCTATCAAATTTTGTGCCCGTCACATAAGGACCGTGATTATTCTATGGCCTTGGTAGCGCCTCTATATCTGTTACCTGGCATGGCACCACTCTGCGCTATCACCTTTCCCTAGGCACTCTGTGCAATGCATCATGAAAAATGGGCTGGTCACACCCCGCAATATCATCACCCTCATCTAGCACCTAGGCACTCTGTACAATGCATCATGAAAAATGGACTTGTCACATCCGGGACCCGACATAATGATAATTTTCACACTTCACACTCCATAGTGACGGAGTTCACACCTTCTGATTATATAAGCAGTGTATCATACTTTGTTTGATCATCCATCTGATGATCCGTTGCTTGAATGGTGAAACACTGTGTAATGGAATTTGATCTCCGACGGTTTTTCCGCTTGTGTGTAATAAATATATATAAATAATCAAAAGCCTTTGCTGTTTGCGTTATGCAGAGCTCACTGACTTGTCAGTTTGAGCACTCTGGCGAGGTACGTTCGGGCCTGATTGGAAATTTTTATTTCCATTGCTATCAGGTTCGGACTCATTCCTCTGTGCTGCGCTGACGAGTCCACAAAGGACGAAACAGTTCTGTCCGCAGATTGAGTAAATAATCAAAAGCATAATTTGACGATTGGCCGAGCATAGTCCGCCGATGGCTAGCCAGGCCACACCAGGCTGTGGCAGCATATTCAAACAATGGAAGGAGATAAATTTTATACATAGCTGAACGGCACGTAATAGAGAGATGTTTACAATGACTTTTAATATAGCCAAGAGCACGGATGACTTTATTACAAATGCAATCTACATTAGCCGACCAGGACATGGATGAACCGAACATTACCAGTAGAATAAAACAACAACAACAGCAACAACAACCCCGAGGTGATTGTTCTCCTTTACCGTCTGAATTTCTGTTGGTGAATTGGGAAAGGTGAACTTAAACATTGAGGCAGAATATAAGAACGAAATGTCCGGTTCATCCAGGACATGGATGAACCGAACATTACCAGTAGAATAAAACAACAACAACAGCAACAACAACCCCGAGGTGATTGTTCTCCTTTACCGTCTGAATTTCTGTTGGTGAATTGGGAAAGGTGAACTTAAACATTGAGGCAGAATATAAGAACGAAATGGCGCTTTTAGTGACATTTTGCAGACAAATCCCCATCTAGTAGGGCGCAGTCACCTAGTTTCGGTGGAAGTGGCGAGTCCGATTGGGTATAAAGGAGGAGGTTACCAAAGGAGGAAGGGAGCGTCTCAGCTTCCTCGGACCAAGACCATTCAACTCAGCACCCAAATCGGCCCGATTTTTTCGATCGGCTAAGAAAATGTCCAAATTCGGCCATATTATGAGCCCTAAAGTCAGAATTCGGCTCAAGGCAGTACCTGAAGTCACCGCTCGTAATACAATGTGCATTAACATGTACGCTTTTACATGTACAGGCACTAAAACATCGATTTTCGGCGAATTCAGTGCGAAATTTGCAAATTCGGCGCAATTATCGGCGATTTCTTCACAGCCATTGATTTCGTCGTCTTTTCTTGCTGGCCGATTTCGGAAATGCCTAAAGTCCCAGTTACCTTTTCGCACTATACTGGTTACAGGGATTGTATTTGCATGCTATTGAGGCACAAATACATGTACATGTACATGTACCGGTACATCGTTTTTTTGGCGAGGTTATTACATGTACACCGGTACTTCCCTTTTATGGTGGCAGACTACCGAAATATTCCCTAAAAAATCGAATTTGTAAATTCATATCGAATGCTATATCAGTTAAAAGAGCATGAATAGCTGCAAGACGGGGATACTAGCTGCAAGATCTCTGAACATTTTGTCTCAATCTGACCAGCCGTTCAAGAGTTGTGGCCGAAAATGCGCCCTTGCAAGGAAAGATTTTTTTTGTTACACGCTGTCATTTTTTGGCAGCACTGGATTTGAATCTGGGCAGACCGTGTGCAACTTGTCGTATCATGGAAACACGCGAAAGTGTGCAGAATTTTGCTCCAAGTCCAAAAAATCACGTTTTCCCATGTATTGGGCTGCACGGCGGCGGGCTTTACCCGCCGCTGTGGAGCAGGACTTTTGCCAGCACCCTCGTGACGTTGCAGATATGTGTCTTGATTATTGTAGTTGACGTTGATTTAGTGATTTTGGCAAGTTAGAGTCGTGTCAAGAAGTCAGGTAGGATTCAGTACTAGGCAGTAGTGGAACGTGAGTGGTAGTCTTTGCCGATTTTTGAGGGTAAAAGTAGTAAGAAAGGGTTTGCTCCCCACACCGGAGCTCGCGCTATTCCGCCGACTTTACTTGACACTTGACTGACTCACGACTGCCATCCAGACAGAGCACACGAGAAGTCCATCGAACCTTCGACTCGGTAAACCTGCAAGAAAGCACCACTCCCTGCTCAATACACAGTGTTTCGGGGAATTCACCCCTCATCAGTTGAGCTTGAGTAGGCTGAGGAAGATTGTGCCTAAAGAGCACCACTTATATAGTGCTCTCCAGGCACAAACATCATCAGGGATACAAACTTACAGAGACACTCCGTTTCCAGCGCGACAAACACCTCGTGAACACCAGATAGCAGCGTGAGTCAGTGTCGCTCCTGGACGGTGAGACAGACGTCGAGGACCCTCGGTCATTCGCAACGCTGTCTGTCTGTCTGGATGGCAGTCGTGAGTCAGTCAAGTGTCAAGTAAAGTCGGCGGAATAGCGCGAGCTCCGGTGTGGGGAGCAAACCCTTTCTTACAATCATCGCCGAAGTCGCAACCACTACTTCGTAAAAGTAGTAGTTTTCTATTATTTTACTAGGGGAGTCCCAACAGGCTACTGCCTTTTTTACTGTGAACCCTAGGAGGGTATCCTGGATTTGGTGTGCAGCGTTGTGGAAATGGCTTGCTGTGGAGGTCCCAGCACTGGATGTTGTATCAAAGGGACGACCTCGTAGCAAGTGCTAAACCTAAACAAATTAAAAAATTGACTTGCGTCTGTGGGAGTGTGTGAGAGAACGCCCACTCGTGCCGGTGTGACAGATTCCAAGGCCACGTTGAGGGGCCCTATCCCACCACCATGGCTGCTTCTGGACTTGTTGCAGGTTTGGATCCCGCGCAAGGACAGAATGGGCACAAAAATGTGAAAAAATTGTAAATGCATTTTTTGGCTCCTGGGTGGCTCGCATACCGTGGCACTATGCCGGAATTTTGAGTTTTTCGGCCTGGAAAGCCTGTCAGTGAGGCGCAAGAACTTTTAAATCATGGCCAGAGGGCCAACATAGTGGCAGAAGTGTGTGGTGAAAATGTCACTCAAATCCATTGAGAGACACCAAATTTACGGTCAATTGAATGCCATATGAAATTTATGGGTAGGCTGCTACCTAAAAATCTTTGAGTGAAAAAAAAGAAAGTCCCCGTATCACTTACTATCGCTATAATTATATACATGTACATTGTAGTTCTGACAGATGTGTTGACTTTCGGACGAAGACTTCACACAGGATCTAATCTGGTTGCTGGCGATCTGGCTAAGTGCTCTTCCCGTATGTCACATGACTGTCGCCTTGGAGTCGACCAATGACTGATCTTCATGTACATGTAGATGTACAGTCATGTAGATTGTACTACGTTGTATCAGTGCTTACCGGATCTAGGCTAGCCATAATTATGCCTACTGCAGTACTGGGGACCGTGCGTGGAATGAGGATACATGATTGTAATTCTAATCCATTGTGTTAATTTGCCCGTAAAAGAGGCCTAGAAACAAAACAACATGTAGTACAGATTCAGTCAGTACATACTATTGCTTCTTTGCTCAGAAATCAAGTGAACACTCATTGCCCCAAGGTAGATTCCATCGCCTAACTCTTGTTCTGGCTTCAGTTTAGCGCCATGGCCGCTGACACAATGTAGGTGTGACTAGAGTACGCTATGTGCCTGGACGGATGTTTAGCATAAGCAATGCAGTCACATAAAGATTATTATTACATTGTCCTCGGTATTGTACGACTTGAGCACTGTCCCAACTTCCATCCAATATTGGATGGAAGTTGGGACAGTTATTATGCTTCCGCCCCCGCTGTGCAGCATCTGATGGTTCTGTGGTATTCAGTAAAAAAAAAAAATTGTAGAATAATTTGAAAATGTAGCAGGGTTCCTTGTTTTACTAGGGTGGCAGTCTGCACAGACTTTTAAAATGTCTTGTTACTGGGATCTTATGCAGGTATGTCCTACTGTGATGCAGAGGAACGTCACGTGGCTGGAAAATACAGAACAGCGCCTGACTACTGGCACGCTGGTGTAGTGAAGAAAAAAACAAACAGAACTTGAGTACAAGAGATTAAATGAACCACGAAAGTCCGGCATGGCGGAAGGAAATGGCCAAATAAAAGCGTCAGTTCAGGTTCCCATACTTGTGCATAAATGTTGCATATCATGAAGCACATGCATCCTCTGAGCTACGCAATCTCCGCTTGGGTATCAGAAGTTCACAATCCCTACAAATTCTCGTTCTGGAAGGGAAAACAGACAGAGTATCGTCCGACCAGTAGGGACGATGTGGTACAATTATTCTCACAATCACAGGTCGTACTGCCATCACCAGCCTGCGCTCGCTGAGAACATATACATGCTGTTGTAGACCATCTAACAGCAGAAAATACACATACCGAACAAAACTCTCATGGAAATGCTTCCCCGCACAAGGGCAGGAGCATAGAACATGTAGTACCGTACTGGCAATATATGTTGCCGCGTAACGCGTAACGCAGGGGGGTGCGGCGTAACGCGCGACCAGGCTATTGCGACAAATTTTCGTTGAGTTCGTAACGCGCGTCCGGCGGGGTGCGGCGATCTTTTCATTGCAAAAAAGGCTGAAAACTGTGAAAGCACGTGTACCGCGTGGTGAAAAGTTCAAAACTGGACGCAGCAGGAAGTCCTGCAATAGCAAAAAAAGGACTGCGGCAATATAGAAACCTGTGTAACGGCTCCTGTGCGACTTTGCATGTAACGCCCTGCGTGCGGCAAACATGTGCCAATGTAACGCTTCATGGCCTCACTGCGGCAACATATATTGCCAGTACGGTAGTACATGTAAGTGTCAGTTTTGTGCCATTTTGTCACACTCGCTGACTGTATAAGATCTGGTTACGTTGGTGGACAGTTAGTCATAAATTGTAACATTTTGTCCTTCTCCTTTTTCAGTAGTAGTAGTAGTAGTAGTAGAAGTAGTAGTAGTAGTAGAAGTATTTTTTCCTTATTTCTCTAGGGCAGTCCCCACAGACCTATGTTCTCCTTACGGGGTACCCTAGCCAATCTAGGATTGCGATACGAAATTGACTTGGTGAAGCAGCAAGGCGGACCGATGCCGGAACTGAGTTCCAGCGGTCAGCGGCTAGAAAAAGAAGGAAAGGACTAACGTATGAAAGGCAAGCTAATGATGAGTGTATGTTATGAACGTGTACGGGACGTGTACATGTGTGTTATGAGCTCAGTTTACATAGCGTGCACTCCTGACCAAACATGGCCTGAGATCCATCAAATCCATGTTCCAGTGCTGTGCACGGGTAGTTTAATTTTAAGCGCATTAGATAGAAGGCCCACCAACGGTTGAACGGGATGGATCGAAAGTTCGAAACTATAGAACAAGATCTGAGATAACCGACATCTCTGTCCCTGAAGCCTTTGTCTGAGCACAAAACAGACATGAATGGAACACTTTCACCCACAGACGCGTAGAGCTCAATTCTGAGTGATACGCGAGCTCCTCTTCTTTTTTTATTATTATGAAGTGCAAGGTCGCTCAAATCTCACTGGAGGTGAAAAATATCACCAGAGAGACTGAGCACAGAAGGTGGGAAGACTCGTGTTGAGGGCAATAACACTTCGACCACTCACACAAGACCTGCACTAAGAGTTGGATAGCGGAACTTTCGCCTGATCTGCATTGTACTCGTAAACCTGCACTGGAGACCTTTAATGGAGGGATGCTTGACTCCTGGCGCAGAAAATAAAGTCTGCAAAGGGCCGGATTTTATTTCCCAGCCGTGTCGGACGTTAATTGCGTAGTTTGGGAGTGTTAACCCTTTGAGGTGCCACTGAACGCTTGCAAATATGCAATTGCAGTTCACTCCACCATTTCCACTGTAACTTACGTTCTGTTTGCTTGATTTTGGCAATCTAGGGCTCTTTGAAACGCTCTTTCCGTTACACAGAAAAATGAGGCCACTCTCAACTCCATGGATGCCACAAAGCCTGCTCCAGAGCGCAGCCAATCGCCATAGGTCGGGCCTCGTGGTGAAAGAAATAATTCTAGATTTCGTTCTAATGCCATTTCGCAACCGTTTCTCGCACAACTCTGGATTCTTTTTGCAGCTCAACCAGTAAATTCTACGTCATTACACGTGCATACGTCATGAGCTGGCTGCACACCACTTGCGCCACGGGAAATCCCCGAAGCACGCAGCAAAAAATTGATTTTGAAAAGTGTGAACAATTAGTGCCACGATCCAACTTTCGAGCGCCATATTTTTATCATAGTTTCTCCTATCGCAAAAGCGATTACATCATTGGAAAGCTTGGAGCTTCCTCTTCGATATTTCGATTTTCCCAACAGGACTATAATAACAACAATGGAGTTACGGTACGCAAAAAATATCAGTCCGTATGGACTGGTGCAGAGGAACTTGAATTGCACACACCTACCTGTTCGTCATGATGGTGAATGCTGCTTGACTTTCAGTTGTAACAGCGATTGTTGTAGGAGCAGGAGTTGTTGGAGCCGTGGTAGGAGCCGTGGTGGGAGTTGTGGTGGGAGTCGTGGTGGGAGTTGTGGTGGGGGTGGTCGTGGGAGTCGTGGTGGGAGTCGTGGTGGGAGTCGTGGTGGGAGTCGTGGTGGGAGTCGTGGTGGGAGTCGTGGTGGGAGTCGTGGTGGGAGTCGTGGTGGGAGTCGTGGTGGGTGTGGTTGTGGGAGTCGTGGTGGGAGTCGTGGTGGGAGTCGTGGTGGGGGTGGTCGTGGGAGTCGTGGTGGGTGTCGTGGTGGGAGTCGTGGTGGGGGTGGTCGTGGGAGTGGTCGTGGGGGTGGTCGTGGGAGTGGTGGTTGGTGCTGGGGCCGTGGTGGCTGGGTCCGGTTCTGGGTTATCTACAAAAACAGACAAAAACAATGTGACATGGATACATAGTATATTATTATATTGTCAGTTTGACAGCATGAAACAAGGTGGAGGACACTGTGGTCGGAAACAGTGACCTTATCACACTGCGTTTGTTTGAGTCGCGTTTGCGTCTGCGTTTGAGATTGGAAAACGCAAGACGTGATATCATACTATACTTGTGATTTTCAGCGTTTGCGTCAAAATCTGTGCGCGCGGGAAAATACAACAATGTGGGGAATCGATCTCGAGGTGGCCGTGGATGTTGAATTTATTTTCCTGAGATCGAGAAGTGTTCTGTTTCTGCTCCTATGTCCTTTGTCAGTGGTGCTAGGGGAGTGGGAGTCGATGGGAAGACTGCAGCCGTTGCGTTGCCTGTGTTGCGGTGGCAGTTCCGTTGTTGAGGCACATCGTCCAGCTAGGCTACTCGCCGCCAACTAGTCAGCGCAACCTCAGCCAGACAGCCACGAGCTCGCATCAGCTCCATGCCTCGCGAATCCAAAATCAATGAATCAGTACATGTAGTAGAAGTACCCTCGCCCTCCCCAGCAACTAGATGGAAATGAAGATTTGAAAAGCACACTTGAGAATCACTTGAAAACACTCAAAAACAATGCAGGAAGTGCTGCGATAAAGGAAGTCCGATCTGCGTTTACGCGATTCGGTTTTGACCACCCCCCCCCCCCCTGGTTTGCGTCTGCGACTGTGCGTCTGGAAACCAACGCGCTCGCGGTAACGTCACGTGATGGCATTTCCTAGGCGAACGTCAAAAACCGAAGAAAACGCAGACGCAAACGCGACTTTTGAACGCAGTGTGATAAGGGCCTAACTACAACCATCCACGGTTGGCAGAGCCCCGGTCCATTAGGACCATCTGAACCATAATTATGGGTGTTGAACCCGATTCTGACCCTCATTATGCTAGGGAACCGGGTTCAACACCCATAATTATTATGGTTCAGATGGTCCCAACGGACCGGGGCTTTGCCAACCGTGGAAGGTTGTGGTAAGGTCACTGTGTCCGAACACAGTATCCTCCATCTTGTTTCATGCTGTCAATCTAACAACATGTGTGAACTATAACAAGCTTTATCTAATACTAGTATTGAACTAGTATTGAACTAGTATTGAACTAGTATTGAACTAGTATTGGGTTATAACGTTATAGCCATGTACGTGTATAAAGCGTTAAAAAGTATCAGGAAGTGAACTGCCTGAAAAGAGAAAAAAAAACGCCAGACCCACCAGGACTCGAACCTGGGACCCTGCTTTGAATTTGAAGTTCTCCCAATCCTTTCCAAATATAGCGTTACATTATTACGTACATGTACACACCTGGGTTTCTCATAGCCTAAGCCTTGGCGAATAATGCTCGAAAAGGTGGCAGATTCTGCTTTTTTTGCACCGAAATTGGCAGAACCATACAAACCTTATGGCGGGCAATTCCTCGAATTCTGCTCCATTTCTTTATCCACATACCAAACATGCATGAAACTTACCAGAAAAAGTACCGAATTCTGCCAATTTTTCTGCCGGCATTATCCGCCAAGGCCTAGTTTCTCATCTATTCATGTTGCTTGGTGGTTGCCGGTGTACAAGTATGTGAGAATTTAAATTTCTATCAGACTTTTCCCGCTCTTCACTGTGTGGTAGACCTTGGCGGATAATGCTCGAAAAGGTGGCAGAGTCTGCTCAAAAAGCAGTGAAATTGGCAGAACCATACAAACCGTATGGCGGGCGATTCCTCGAATTCTGCTCCATGTCTTTATCCACATACCAAACATGCATGAAACTTACCAGAAAATGTACCGAATTCTGCCAATTTTTCTGCCGGCATTATCCGCCAAGGCCTACTGTGTGGGTATTGCTAGCCAGAAGCAGTCCATGGCTAACAGGTACATGTACATGTATGTACTATGCTATAGACATCTAGCACTCAGCTTCACAAAATTCCCAGCCGGCAAGTTAGCCCATTGATTTCATATCAGGGGTCCCGCTAAGCCTTGCACTTGTTTCCGCCATGCATCCACCTTAAATTCCCATTATGCTTTGACCAGTCTGCATTGAATATTGTTTGCCTGATGATTGCACGCGGTGCATGAAACTCGGAGTTGCAAAACAATACGAGTAATCCATTGTTTGTTGACATGTGTCATTGCTCTCCCCAAGAAATTGGATGCACTTTTTCTGCAGCTGCAGGCATAGTCATACTGAGTATGTTACATGTATGTGTACTTCAAATAGACAGTAAGTCAGTCAAGTGAGAATTCAAGTCGGCAGGAAAAGCGCGAGCTCCCACGTAGGGAGCAACACACAATTCCCCAAGTATCGCCGAAGTCGCACCCACCTCTTCTTCCGAAAGTACATGTATATGAACCTTGAAACCAGCAAAAGTACAACAGCTACAACAACACACCTTCAAGCAGCCGAGCCTGTTGGCAACCGCCCCAACACTATCTGGCATACGTGTACCTACAAACTGAACTAGCTGGCACACTCACCCACGTACATCCTCACACCCTCACAGACACAAACACGCACACACACACGCACAAACACACACGCACAAACACGCACGCAAACACACACACACACACAAACACACACTCAACCCGGCAGGTTTCACTGTCTGGGCTTACATGTACATATAGATGTACAATGTACTTACTGATGCAGAATGGGTCATCCGCTGTCGAGCACGCAAAGCCTGCAGGTACAAATGGGCAGGCACACATGGGCAGGTACATAGGCAGGTGCAAATGGGCAGTACATATGTGTGGGTACATATGGGCAGGTACACACGGGCGGGTACATAATGGGCAGTACACATGGGCAGTACACATGGGCAGTACACATGGGCGGGTACATATGGGCAGGTACATACATGTATGGGCGGGTACATGTGGTTGGGTACGTATGGTCAGTAACGCCTGCATTATCCGCTAAGGGCGATTACTTACCGGGGTGGCTGAGGTCGGTGGTTTGTTGAGGCGTCGAACCAGGAGTCCAGCTGCAGAAGGGGTCGCCCAACTCCCGACCATTACTCAGCCCGTCTCCGTCACTGTCCAAGAAGCAGATCGGTATCCACTCGTTGCCGTCAAGCATAAAGTCCCCACCGAACGTGTTCCCTGCAGCAGGAGACGGATCAGAACAAACGTGGACTTGACAGGGACTCATATGCTTCTCTTGACTACATGAAGGTATAAACCTCTCTAATAATTTTATATGTAACATGTACAAACCCCTACAAACCCCTAAAAACCCCTAAACACCCCTACAAGCGTTTCTCCAGAAATCTCAAACTCAGCCGCCCATCTAACTTGCACTCGAAAACACCTCCAAAATCAAACAGGCTCCCAGCTGCATGGAAAAGATGAGGAATCTGTCAACTTATTAGTATGTTTGAGGGCAACGTTTTCATCTATTGGGTGGAGCTGAGAGCCTGCTAGTAGACGGGAGGTGTGTTCCAGTGCAACCCTCTATAAGGACGGGCAAGATTGGCATGACATTTGGCTACTTTCTTTCACAGTATCAGCGAGAATAAACTACTTATGTATCACAGTGCAAAATAACAAAGAGAAAGTAACAAAAGACTCGGATGGAGAGCCAATGATTATTAATTTATAATAAAGAAAAGGACTAGGGAACTAGAAGTTACGCTACAATGTCCACTAACATCACCAGTTACTTGACAATCAGCTCATGCGATAACATTGCACAAACTGACCGACAGTACGGACGCTCTACAACTAACTGGCTATCAGCTCTAGCACGTCTTGGGTGCGCCCTCCAACAGCCTTCCAACTTGGAAGGTTGGGGGGGGGGGTATATGAAAACATAGCGGGAGGGGAAGGTGAGCACAACCAAGGCAAGCACAAGCTGAAATTCACAACTTTTACAGCGAGTTAGTTGTAGAACGTCAGTACTGACGGTCAGTGCAGTGGTATCGCATGAGCTGATTGTCAAGTAACTGGTGATGTTAGTGGACATTGCAGCGTAACGTGTAGTTACTTTGTCCTTTTCTTTATTATAACTGTTCTGTGCATGGTTCATTTTATTTTATTTTTTACTAAGAACACAGCCCCACCAATAGACATCTGGAGACCATGGCTAAATTTGACGATGTTCCATTCTCCAGTCCCACAACGATCACCTTGTCTTCACCCCACTGAACTGTACCTTGCTCCCTAGAGCTCTCGAATCACCTCAGTGCAGAATGTTTTGCGTTAATGTTTATTTCTTCTCTTCTTTCCTTTTTACTGCTTTTCGTGGTCCCTTTCTCGCTGATCCAGTGCCTGCACGCTACTCTGCCTGGCAGCAGCTCCGATCGAACTTCTCCGGATTGCCCCCCCCCCCCACTGAAAGCAACGCAGCTGTTGGTCCATTGCCATAGTTTCCTGAACCAATCTGGCACTCACTCACTCACCCTCACTCACCCGCCCCCGCCCCCCTCTCTTCCTCTCTCTCTCTTTCTCTCTCTCTCTCTCCATCATTGTCTGGCTCTCAGGTTCTCACTCTTCACACACAGTCTTTCTTCTCTACCTTTCCCCCATGGTGCGTGATGTGCGCCTTGATCCCGAGACCATTGGTCGGGGGAGCGCACTTCACCTCACCGGCACAGCTCAATAGCACCTACAAGCCCTTTGTAGTCCCCTATGTTCTCTTGATGTTGTTGTTGTTTTTCTCTTCCATTCTATATGTAGGCATGTGCACTTTCATTATTTACAAAAAACTTGAACAAGACACAGGGATGTAGGGACGACGTGCCGATGTACAGGGAGCAACTCGACCGACCAGAGGTCTCGGCGTTGACGTTGCAACCTGGCATCGGAGAAGGGGAGGGGGGGGGGGTTGCAGGGTCAAGTAGCAAAAAATAATAATTTGGTGTGAAAAAGAGGTACTATTATTGCACCAAAAAATAGAAATACATGTACGGTAATAAGACAGGGGCCTTAAAAAATAGGGCTGTTTCGTTGTTACTCAGAGTTTCATGGCAAACACCAATCATCAAACAACAACTGTGTTGTCTGATGATTGGTTTTACCATGTTGCTTACATGTAATAAATAAACCAGAAGGGAGAACGAAAAACGAGGCAAGACTCTAAAACAAGCAAATCACTAATAGAAAGGTAAATGAGTCTCAACATAGACTTGTAGCTCCTTGGTCCTTTTTGTTCTTCTATACATTGAGTCTGAATACTATTATCGTCATCACAGGTATTGTCTGGACCACAGCCATCTCTTTCGATGGGGAGGGGGGGGGGAGTGTATTTCCGTTATAAAGAGCTTCGGTGTAACAAAATACAGTAGTAGCACATGCACAGATCTGGCTAGAGAAATCCGACCTTGCCTCGCCCCGGTGAGCAGAGTGGTGTGTACATGTATGTGGTGCTAGGGCAGTGTGGCCCATGGGCGCTATTATATCCATGAGGTCGGATTTCTGTGGCCAGGACTATATATGTAATTCTCCTGCACACTGGTGTTGGTTATATCGGTAGCCTACTTTACGATATTTCTAAAGAGATACATGGACCAATCACTACCTCCGCCTGATGGTGGCCCTCCGCATAGGGCAACGTGCCCGATAGATTGACACATCCTGGAGAGACATCATAAAGAGAAAGAGGAAGGGAGAAAAAGGGAGAGAGAGAGAGTGTGTGTGTGTGTGTGTGTGTGTGTGTGTGTGTGTGTGTGTGCGCGTGTGTGTGTCGCGTGCTGGCGTGATCCAACATGCCTTAGTCCTTGAATAAACTCGTTCAATCTCATAGTGATACAATGCATTACTACTAGTACTGCTATACTAGCATAATGTACTGGTACTCCACCGTATTTACATGTAACAATGTTTTACTGGTCCGTGTGGAGCGGCAGAGGTATCCCAGGTACCGAACTGCAAGCAACACGCAACACAAGTCGCGCGTCTCATCCAGTAAGTACTAGTACAGCGTAAACTACTAGTAGCAAGGACATTCCTCTACAACATGCAATCTCTCCTTTTCTAGTTATGTATTAGAAGTAAGACAGGAAGTATGGACTCGGATGGAGAGCCGAGGATTATAAAAAATAAAAAGGGACAAGGAATAATGGTGAAAAAAGGAGGACAAAATGTTACGAGTTATGATTAACTGTCCACCAACGTAACCAGATCTTATGCAGTCAGCGAGTGCGACAAAATGACACCTAGCTCCAACACTTCTCCAAGGCGCAAACCAACAACCTTCCAACTTGGAAGGCTCAGATTCGTAACTCGTAACATTTTGTCCTCCTTTTTTCACCATAATTTAATTGGCTCACCATCCGAGTTGAACAAGGAATAAGCTGATCGTCTAGTAACTGGTGGTGGCAGTGGGCATTGTAGCGTAATTTGTAGTGCCTTGGTCCTTTTCATTTTTCTAGAAAGACAGGAAGTAGTTGCGAATAAACTCGTTCTCAACGTAAGATAGGAGGACAGACATGGTCCGACAGGTCGTAACACTCTTAGACCTGAATGAAAAGAAAACTCAACTACAGTCTGAGCAAACGGCGAACAAGGCTTATGTTTTGCTCTTATGGAGGACCTTATCTAACAGTAACCGCACAAGTGCACAGTAGCCTCAAAGTCCACTCGTATCCCCATCATATACATGTACACACACAGACTCAGTTATGCTGTTTTCCCACTACAATGTACATCATGTCATGAACCGTTGCTGCTTCCATGTACTTATACCGGTACTATCAGCAAAATCTTTTTGTTTTGTTTGGTTTTTCACGATTTGTTCCTACATTATGCAGTCCGTAGACAGTGTCATCCAAGAAGAAGAAGCAGCAGAAGAAGAAGTATGGACTTTTATCAGGCAGATCTACATATGAGATTTACGGGAAGTGTACATGACTTGTACTTTTCAAATGCATTGTGCGCAAAACCTGAAAAAGGAATGGAATGATTGTTGACTAGCAGAGCTAGAGGAGCAGAGGAGAGGTTATGATGATACATATACGGAAATGGGAATCAGTAACGAAGAGTCTAGTAACATAGGGTTTGCCGTTATTGCAACTAGTGTGGCTAGTGCATAACCGAAATGGCTTTTGACCCCGAATAAGCCACTGTGCTGCGAATGCATTCATCATAAGTTCACAAGGGAGACATTTTCGGCCCGCTGCTAACTCACTAGCACTAGTTGGATACTAGTGATGCCAGTTAAGGACGGCTAAACATTTTTAATGTACTCGTACTCACTGATTTACCACCCCGAAAGGTGCAGGGACCAACGAGGATCCCACCCCTCCACTGACCGTTCCCAGGTTGGGTATGAGGGCAACGTAGCTGGGAAACGCCGCGACGTGGTGTACATGTACCAGGACTACAGCTAGGAACATTGACGACCTCATGACTGCCTTCTGCATGGACGGTGGAGCAAGTCTTCCAACAGGATGTCCAATAATTACAAGCGGGCACCTTAATCATGCACTGGTATTGTGGGGCTGATTCCCTGCCAGGAACACTCCCAGGTTTTCAGAGCAAGCCAGAGCCAACGTTCAAAGGGAAGAAGCGTTTCTTGCTCCGTTCTCCAACCGTCTGTGAACTACTGAAGGGCTAAGGACAAGGCAGGGGAAAGAGCGTTACTGTGCCTGTGTGGTGGTTTCGACCCAGCGCGAGATCCAGCCCGAGCGCGCGGGCATGATCGTCTCACCCTTGGCTCGTGGTCTTACGATCATGGTAGCTGCTGTCTTGTGCTGCCGCCACTGCTGCAATTCCAGCCTAGCCACAACGATACTGACTAATACTTAAAGTCTACAATCAGTCATGTACATGATTGTACTGGTGACGCGGTGTCTGCAGGTCACGGAATCGCGACCAGTCACTGACTCAGTCACTTTCTCCCCCCCCCCCCCATGCCATGGCTGCATACTAGCGCTACTTACGTCAGTAGATTGCAAGTCCACCGTGTCAGTCTCGGCTCACCCAAGGACTGACCACTTTACGCTAGGATTGCCCAGCGCAATGATTGACAAAGTACCCATATCGCCTACCATGGCTAGTTCTTACAGTTACTGCACCTATGTACATAATACTGACATTCGGATGATTCGGATGGCGACTTCACACAGGATCTGATTGTGATCTGGTTAAGTGCACTTTTGTTGATACTTTGTATCAGTGCAGTGCATGCAGGACAGCCATGTGCCTGCTGGGGACCGTGTGTGGAGGGAAGATTCGATCGATTCTTTGTTTAGAAACCAAGTAAACACAGATCGCGAGATGGGTTTCATGGCTTACGAGAGAGCTTGGAAGCTCAGGGCCCTACGCTATGCTTTGTTACTAAGCTCATCGTGCATGTTGTGGGAACTGATGGAAATGTTTCCTGGGACGGCGCTGACTCTGCCGAGCACGCGCGTTCTGGAGTCGACGGGATGTCTGTCCTGACGTTTCCTGTGACCGGCGTTGACTCGCCCGTTCACGCCTATTTTGGAGACGACGGGATCTCTCCCAAAGTATGTTTTTGCTGACGCATCGTATCACCTATTCGGCAACTAACATCCATTCTAATTTCATTTCCTCCTCGTCTCCCTATTTCTTTCCAGAAAGTCTCTCTATACATCAGGGAGTCGTACTGTATTGGCAGCTACCCTAACGGGTCACGCCGCCCACCACCCAAGCATGGGTATGATGAGGGACAGTGGCAACAGAAACAAAAAACAGCAAGCAGGGAGAGAAAGCAAGAGAAAGACGGCGATAGTAGTACATCTGGCGTGCGACGTATAGAAAAGAGAGATGACAAGAGATGCGCACAAAATAGGAAACAATAATTATTTTTGCAGTTCCGAAACAATCAACCAGGTGATGGAGTGTGGGCACCCGAAGTCCCGCCTGGACTCCACTGGAAGAACATCCCACGCAGGGATATCAGCGATAGGCCAAGTGTTGACAAACAGCCATGAGGACACATCGTCTAGAAGTCCACCGCGCTCGAACTGAAATTGCAGGTTCAAACAATTTCCCACGCGGCGTCAGGCAGCGTAACTCTTCTCCCTGCATCACCATCCATCTCCAGCAACCGTCTCCACTCACAGCTCATGCCTCTGCCACCGCTGTACTCCTCCAAGCTTCGCAGTTTGAAACCATTCGGGGGTCAGCTACACCACCGCGAATGGAGAGACGAGCACGACAACGGTCGTGACTGAAAAGACACTGCCTTGGCGACCGCGTCGCGGAACCCTCGCCCCAGCAAATTCAGAAATACGACAGGGGCAACTCTGGTGGACTCAGAGCCACCTTCTTGGCAAGACTAGTAAGAGAAACGACTGAAAACTCAGATAAAACGGAGCTACAAAAAGTGCAACCGTCCCCTTCAACCACAGTTGCAACACACAGGGAGTCCTATACATGTAATATTGTGGCCAGCTGTTTGTAGCCAGCTGTGTTTGATGGTACGGTACGGTACGGGACAGATACGGGAGCCAGCAAATGGCCAGCTGTGCGATACGGGACGGGACAGATACGGGATAGAGCCAGGCGTGACACAAACAAACAAACAAACACCAAATTAAAGCTGTGTGGACCCTGGCTAGCGCCAGACGTTACTGAAGTAACGTCTTCTGCATAGCTACGGGAATAATATGCTACTGCTTCTTGTTCTGACTTCAGGTTAGCACCGTGGTGGCTCATAGGTGTGGCGTGAGTACGCTATGTGCCCAGACGAAGGATTAGGTTAGCAATACAGTAACTGAGTTAAATTACGGAGAATCTCTCGATTTAGGCTAAGGCCTGTGGAGAATCCATAAATACAAATACAAATTCATTGTTAACTGGCTAGGGGGAAAGAGACAAAAGGGAAAAGTCTGAAGAAAAAATTGACTGTCACCACCAGGACTCGAACCAGGGACGTTCGCTTCATTGTGCTCGGTATTGTACGACTCGCGCACTGGAGAATGATTTGAAAAATGCACATGTAGCACCAGGGTTCATCGTTTTACTAGGGCGGTAGTCCCCACTGACTTTTCAAATGTCTTGTTGCGGGGATCTAGTGCCGCTATGCCTCACTGTGGATCCCCGGACATGGCGGGGAAATACCGAATATCGCCCCACTACCTGTATGCTGATGTATTCGGTAGGGATAAACAACTTTAGAACGAGGTCTGTCTCGTTGTCCAGGAAACGACCAATCAGCGACATTGCCGCCAAGGGCCTTATCAGAGTTTAAAGCCCGCTCATTGACGCTCAATCGTAATTTTACTACTCTTGATGACGTCGCTGCCATGCACTAACCTATAATTAGTACAATTTACGAAGTGTAAGGGTCTAGAAGGACTCTGCTAGTACAGTATTGGCACCGTACACATGCTCAATTTGAAGGATGTGTGGCATCAAGAGAGAGTGCTACTACGACTTGCATGCATGACTGTACGTGCAGAACCCTGGACAAAGTCAAAACGGATTTTAACCGTCAAGCCTAGTGTAATTACGTAAGCTATGATCTGCCACTATTTAAAAGTGAAAAGGCATAGTGGTGGCCTGCGGAAGCGAAGGCTATAGCTTGTGTGTTTCTGAACATTCAAGTGATGCTAACGCGGATCCCGCGAATATTAGATGACGCTGTGCTGCGCGCACAGAGCTCTTTCTGCCGATCACTTCGTGTTTGAAAGAGACACAGAGCCTCAGTCGTTTTTTAACGGTTTTGTTACCTGTTCACTCCTGCACTCTTTCAGAAACGGGTGTGAGAAGTACATTGGTTTCCCCATGGCGGCATCAGGGCATTCAGTAATTCAAGAATCTATGTAGACTGATATTATCCTCGACATTAACCAGCACGTGTTGTTTGCAGTGTGTTGATGATGATGAAGCAGACTGAAAGACAATTTAGATAATTCAGTGACATAAATGTGTGTGTGCGTGCACGTGTCTTGTTTGTGTGTATGTGCGTATGTGTGTGCGTGGTCGAAAAAGCATAGATAAACTGACACAAAGAAACGCTCTAAATATGCACGTACATGTCTATGTATGTCCGTTACAAACAAGAGATGGGTTGAATTGAAGGGATACCTTAAAGAGATGGATAGAAAATCGCAATACTGTCCGTGAGATTGTGTAGCAAATGGAGAGAAATGTGATACGGTTGCCATGGCAACTGACAGCACATGACCCTAGATCAAGAGGAGAACTGTGGCCAGGATCAGCGTTGGGAGCACTGCAGTGCTGCTTGCGGTCACAACACCTGCTTGAGCGCCTGCAGCATTGACAACAAAAAAGAGAGCGTAAAACAAAATTTAATGTCACCGCACTTACACTCTTGCAGTAAATTAGCACTCACGCACACTTGCACATACATGTACATGTACATGTAGATTGTCACACTGCACTTGCTGAATTTCCTATCATTTCACACCGGTATAGTTTTATTGCCAATGCAATTGTTTCCGAAGTTTGTGCTATTTTTCTTACTATTCTTCAATCTTGTATCCTCTTTTTTCACTCCAAGTGTGTACATCCTATTGTAACTTCATCATTCCTTTTAGTCACGTACTCCATTGATAATTGTGACAGGATAATGTTCTGGAATAGGCCTTGACAGATTATGCTAGCATAATTTTTCGCATAATTCCTACCAAAATCGAATAATCGCATAATTCGAGGCTAATTGCATACGAATCGCATAAAATTGGAATAATCCGCCTGTTCGCATCAAATTCCATACAGTTGTACATGTTCTACAAGTACAAGTACAAGTAGATGCACCAGGAAGGCGTAGGTTTACGACTCCCTTGATAACATGTCCAGTCCACTACAATCAGTGACCAGGGTGACGGTCGTAGCTAGGTCGGACGGTGCGTTGACCCCGTTGAACTTTTGCTACTTCAGTGCAACGCCCTCTACAAAAAAATTCACCTGTTATTTTGCACAGAACCATCATATACATTAGCAGCATATGTGAGCATAATGCGGCATAATAACTTTTAGCATAAAAATAGCATAATTCTGCAATTTTTTCAGCAATGCTAAAAGCATAATTTCACGAAAATATTAGCATAATCTGTCAAGGCCTATTCTGGAACACTTTTTTTGGTTGCTATGGTTGTGATACGAGTGCGCATACAGTTTTATTCATTGCATTATTAAGATGATTGTCTCCGCGTCGCTTTTTAAAACAGAGGTCGTCATACTATTCATACTTACAGGCTTACAGCCGTATTGACGAGCACAGAAAAGACTGCCTTGCAGCCTCTCTTCAAATTGTCCAACCTCACAAAGGTTTGCTCATAAAATCACCCAGAACAATGGCCCCTAAAATTAAATATGAAACTGAAAAAAAAACTGTAATCTAATCCAATCGTGTTCAAAACGTAATGGTCCAGGATGCACCCTCTTCTTTCCTTATAGGCGATTCAGACTACGGCCAAAATCAAGTGTAAACTTGAATTTCCATGGTGATGCAGGCGTGTTTCAAAATTTTATGCACAATCCCAGCTCAAATCCATCTGAGTCGTAGAAACGTGGTCACAATTGGCCGTCGTCTGAATCGCCTATTAGCAAAGCAGGAGCCACACCAAAGCTCTACTACAGCATTTGTTAACCCGATTTTGCCTGTGAACTGTTGAACATTTTCGGTCATTTTGGACCTACTTTCCCACATAGTTTGTCATGGCATACCAGTCCTGATTGGGTAAACCTGGCCGGCTGCACAGTCTCCATGACGTGTTCTGCATTTGTTTCCATCGCGTCTACCACTATACGGGACACCGAGACGTTAGTGTGCCAGTTGGTGATGAATTCACAGCAAAATTCCTACTGCACTGAGGACTGCTTGATGAAATATACCTGTGTCCTGTAGATGCTGAAGACAAGCGAAATCTTCTGTTTTTTTCTGTTCTATTTCTGTTGTACCCGATCTCCCTCTGATGTACCGCTGACTCTATGCTGAAGATCTAAGCATTTAAATTCTCATTCTCATTATGATTTTCATATTCGCTTTCATGTTATTGGGTTCTATGCCCGTTTGAATTTGCGAATCAAAATAAATACAAACAAATCCGGTCAAGGGACTGCGCTATGCAGCCCTAGGCCTGCGAACACTGGGACGTGAGCTGGCGCAGGGTGCACACCTTGCTCACACGATCGGATTTCATCGAGCAGCACAGTACTTGTACAGTCCTGACCAGAGAAATCAACCTCATGAATAATACATTCCGCTGGGGCTACGCCACCCTAACACGACACACAGGACTCGGCACACTTAAACACAACTCTACGTTGTACTCTTCGATCATGAGCCTCGGTCGGATTTCTCTGGCCCGAACTGTAAATAGGAAAAGCCACCGCAGTCATACGCCACCACGGTCATATACTCACTGTTTGCATCAGCCTTGCCAAAATCAGGTTGGTCTGTTTCTTGAGGTGCGATATCGGGCACGGTGGAGACGGAGGAGAATTCCACGGTTGCATTCTCAGCATCTTCAGACGGCGTAACTACGATGTCATCGCCTGTTTGATTTGTGAGAGACGCTGTAGAGTTAGTATCCGCCAGGAGAGTCGCATTGGACTCAGACAGTATCTCTAGAGGCGTATGTGCTCCATCTGAAGCAGTTGTGTTTACTACATTGAACGCCTGGTCAGTTTCAGCACCCAATGTTGTACCAACTGGTGGTCGAGTGGGTGTTGCGATCGTCAAGGAAACGGATGTCGCGGGATCAGCCGTCGTCATGGGAACGGTTGTCGTGGGTGCAGCTGTCGTGGGAGTGGTTGCGGTGATAGCAGGCGTTGGGGGTGTTGGGGGAGCAGTTGTCGCGGGCATGGTAGTCTTGGCAGCGGATGCCGTGGGAGTGGTTTTCGTTGTGGTAGCGGAAGTGGTGGGGACGGTGGTCGTAGTGTAAGCCGATGTCGTGGGCATGGTTGTGGTTGTGGGAGTAGTTGTCGCCATTGAAGCGGGAGTTGTGGGAGCGGATGTCAAAGGCTCCGTTGTCGTGGACACGGTTATTGCCGTGGGAGCGGTTGTTGTCGTTGGAGCAGTTGAAGTAGTTCGAGCGGTTGTCATCGTGGAAGCGGATGATGTGGGACTGGGTGCCCTGAGAGAGGTTGTCATGGGACCAAGTATAGCCGTGCCCCCTTCAGTGCCTTGTGATGTTGAAGTGGGGGTAGGTGCTTCTGCCGTGAAGAGAACATAATGCAAGAAAACAGCACAAGTCAATGCTACTGTGCCATCGAGAAGAAAGAATAGATTGGTTTGGGCACAGAACACTGGGTCTGACATGCTGTAAAGTGGGACCTGTACCGGTATGTTACGACACATTTGTATTTTGAAGAATAAAAGATCAATAAAACAGACTTCGCTCAGGCACCCTCGCTAGGAAGACAATTTTCGCTGCATTTTCTTTTCACAGTTGTCTGCCTGGCCTTGATATCTTACCAGAGAGCCATCGCTGCCTGTATTATTATTATGGCCTTTCAGGCATGCATACGTTTACAGTGTATGCATACGTATGCATGCCTCAAAGACCATATAAGAATACAGGCAGACAGACGGACAGACAGACATGCACACACACCTCAGACCTCAGACATGCCCATCGCGGAAGCGATGATAGTGAACAGCTATGTTAGACATAGCAACTTGTGCTGGGATTGCACCATTCAACAGCTTGCAAGGCTGATGAATTGACCGCCACTAATTTTAGCCTGGTATCCACCACACAGCTGATTGAAGTGGCTTTTTCTGGCCAGTGATTAGACACACACGCACACACAAACAAAGCCACTCACACATGCGCACACACAGTGTGACACATACACACACACAAAATATGCATGCATAAGGCCACTCACACGTACGCACACACGCACAAACACACAAACAAAAACACACACCACACATACAAACATACACACGTAAACATACACACACACACACACTTGTTCTTGTACTTGTTGCCCACTGCCAAACCTGGTCACGTGGGTCTCCCCGGGAGAGGGGAGAGAGCCTCAAAAGGAATCTTGGAAAGATGACTCAATTGGCTATTGAACTGCCCAACGGCCGACACCCCCTGAATTCCCCAAAATTCTGGGTGGACTTCAAAATGATCCCACTTATGGGCTCACCGCTCCTCAGTAAGTGGGTGAGGGCAAGATGCAGAAAAAGGATTGACGGCATCAGGGTATCCGCCCTGGGATCCAACTGCAGTTGCCCCTGCCCCCAGTGCACACACACACACACACACACACACACACACACACACACACGAACACACACACACACACACACACACACACACACACACACACACACACACACATCAGCATGACTGACTAACCGTCCCAAGTGACCACGACCTGCTTCAACTCCTGGGTTTCAGAGACTGACCTAGTCAGGCCTTTGACACGTAATTCAAAAGTACCTGGCTCGGGAAGGTATATATTGTATTGTCGAGTCTCCCTTGAAATGGTCTCCACTTCCGTAATCCATGAATTATCCGATCCGCTCCGTTTTCGATAGTGAATAGTAAAACCTGTGAAATGACTCCTTACAGTTGGGGGCACAAACCATGTAAGGACATAGTGGCGTCCGTGAGATGGAGTAAGTACCGGCCATAGTGTGGCTGCTGCTTCCATTACATGAACACACACACACACATACACACACACGTACACACACATATATATATAATTTACATACACACAAGAGAGAGAGAGAGTTTGGAAGCTTTGCTACAACTCTGAGTTTCACGTATTTCTACGATCATCAGGCAACTGATGGATCCAAGACGGGCAGCCAGAACATAAGGGGGAGCAAGGTGGGAAATTATGAGGGGTGTCATAGGCGACGCGTATCATAGCGCAAGAGCCAGGTGCAGGCGTGACATACACATGCGCGTGCATACATGCACACAGGTAGACATACATGCACCCACAAATATTGCCACAAACACAAACATGCGTTCACCGACAGCCAGAAAACAACTTTGAGTGTCTGACGGATATTATGCATACTAGTAATCATTCTGCATTTTTTAGCATTGCCCTCTCTCTCTGCTGTATGTAACACTCACAGTATGGGACAGTTAGTCACAACACTGGCATACGATGGTAACATTGAACAAACGGACAGTGACTGACACCCTGGTCAGGGGCTGAATTCTGGTTCAATTAGCGTACAGTTAGGTATAATGTGACTGGGTCTGAGCACAATCGTTTTTACAGTTTCAATAGTTCTTGGTGTATTGTTCTAGCATTGGCTCTTCTCTCCTCAATGTCAGTTGTCAGTGGCAGCCCTCCTACCGCCATCAACACAGCCGCCATTACAAGTACTATTGTCAAAGTCACCACCATCATCACTGCTGTTGCCACCGCTGCCAGCACCGCCGCCCTCAACAACAATGCGGCCACCAAACACCAAGCACCAAAAAACAAGCACAGGGCCACCACCACCACCACCAACCACCACCACCACCACCACCAAGCACCACCACCACCACCACTGCGGCCATCACAACCACCACCATCACCACCAGCACCATCGTCTCCACCACACCAATTCAGCAGCAGCAGCAGCAACAGCTTCCAAAGTGGTAAGCGTATTACTAAAATACGAATTACCAACTTAGTTTCTCAATCTGTACCTTCGCATCCAAAGACGCAAACAACTGCAACGATAATACATTCTCCTACTGTACGCAAATTTCCAACATTCCCTGTACTATCCTGAAGAGATGGGAAAGAAAACAGTTGATAGAAGGAAGTGTTTACTTGCTTGATTGCGTGGATTTGCGTCTTTGTATCCGAAGGTACAGATTGAGAAACTGTTTTTCACTGCCTCCAAACTACCGCTTGAATTACTAAGTTAGTACACGTGCATATTGGTGTAAGACACGCAATAGGGAAGACACAGGCTTGTGTTACAAACCCAATTTTCACGACCAGAAGGTAGCTTGAGTAAAGCAAAGAGAATGTTGGAAAGTTGAAACTTACACTCTGTTGATTCTGTTGGTGATTCGGTTGCAGCCAATGTTACTTCATCTAACCACCCAGTAGAAATTCCGGGAGTGCCAGAGACCTCTTTAGACGGTTTAGTTGATGCTTCAGTACCAATATCTGCTTCTGCAGATGACCCAGGTGAAACAGAGACCGCGGAACCTTCTTTTTCAGGTGTTTCGGTAGCTTCTGCTGGATCGTTGCCATCTTCTAGAAGTGACTCACTCGAGTCTAGATCAGAATGATCTCCTCGTGCAAGTTGTTCAGTCTCCGCTAGAGTAAGGATATCTCTTTCGGGAGGTGAGTTACTTGAGAAGGGAGTCGCTGGTGCGTCTCCGGCATCTGCATCAGTTTCTGCATCGTCTTCTAGGGATGATTCTGCCCTGGAGATTGGGGTTGAGTGCGTTTCAGTTTCTGCTTGAGCCGGAATGTCTTCTCCCTCAGTTGAGTCCATTGCAACTGAAGGCGCAGAGCTCCCTTCAGTTGGTAGTTCAGTTTGTACTGGAGCTCTAACATCTTCTTCCAGAGGAGACTCGTTTGAAATAGCAGCTGCAGAGCCGTCCAGAGGAGCTTCACTTGCTGTTGTAGTTGTAATGTCTTTTGCCTGAGGTACTGATGCTGAGTTCGCGGCGCCTTCCATATTTGTATCAGCAGCTGCTGTAGTTGCGATATCTTCTTGTTTCGATGGATTGCGTGGGGTTGAAGCTGCATAATATCCCCTTGCAAGTGACTCAGTTTCCACTGCATTCAAAATGTCTTCTCCTTCCGGCGGGTCAATTGCGAAAGAAGTCTCTGAGCTTCCTTCTGTCGGTGTTTCAGTTGTTACTGGAACTTCAACGTCCTTTTCGGGAGGGGAGTAGTTTCCAATAGAAGCTGCAGAGCCGTCAAGAGGCGCTTCAGTTGCTGATGGCGTCGTGTTGTCTTCTGTTTGAGGTGATGGAGCTAAGGGCGATCTCGCAGCGCCTTCCATATTTGTATCAGCAGCTGCTGTAGCTGCGATATCTTCTAGTAGCGATGGATTTCGTGGGGTTGAAGCTGCATTATATCCACTTGCAAGTGACTCAGTTTCTGCTGCATTCAAAATGCCGTCTCCTTCAGGCGACGCATTTGCAAATGAAGTCTCTGAGCTTCCTTCTGTCGGTGTTTCAGTTATTGCTGGGGATGTTAAGTCTTCTTCCAGAGGATACCCGTTTGCAATAGAAGATGCAGAGCCTTCAAGTGGCGCTTCAGTTGCTGCTGTAGTCGTGATGTCTTTTGGTTGCGTTGAGGAGGCTGATTTAGCAGAGCCTTCCATATTTGCATCAGCAGCTGCTGTAGCTGCGATATCTTCTTGTAGCGATGGATTTCGTGGGGTTGAAGCTGCATTATCTCCACTTGCAAGTGACTCAGTTTCTGCTGCATTCAAAATGCCGTCTCCTTCAGGCATGGCATTTGCAAATGAAGTCTCTGAGCTTCCTTCTGTCGGTGTTTCTGTTGTTGCAGGGGATGTTAAGTCTTCATCCATAGGATACCCGTTTTCAATAGAAGATGCAGAGCCTTCAAGTGGCGCTTCAGTTGCTGCTGTAGTCGTGATGTCTTTTGGTTGCGTTGAGGAGGCTGATTTAGCAGAGCCTTCCATAGTTGCATGAGCAGCTGCTGTAGTTGCGAT